AGACACGGGGGCATAGGCAGCAGTGGCCCCCGACCCTGGAGCATGGGGGGCTCTGGCACCCCGGGGCCTGGCTGAGTAGAGCTTGATGGCCCGGCCACTGCCTCCCCTGCCAGGACCCCCTCCTCCTCCTGCTCCTCCATGCCCACAAGTCCAGCCAGCAGAGGCGGTGCACCCAGACACTGGGCCCCCACAGTGCTAGCGCGCAAGGTGGGCACCTCCTCCACCACAAAGCGGGGGTTTCGGGTGGGGGGCGCGGTGCTAGAATGCCGGCGGCAGCTGGCACCCTGGGCACCCAGCCCGCAGACTGGGAGGCAGCCCTGGAGTTGGGCACTGGAGCGGCGCCTCTGTGCCAGAGAGGAGGAGGCCTGCCCAGCAGGTGAGCGGCGCCGGGCCTTGCCGGTGGGCAGCCCCACACCGCTTGGCCGCCGCTGCCCCTCTCTGGGGCCGGGCGTCTTCTGCTGGAAGTGTTTTCTAAAGAAGGTCTCCATGCCAGGGGCAGGCCGGGAGCTGCTGGGCAGAGACCAGGAGCATCAGAGGCCGGTCAGGCCGCAGCCCACCAGTGCCCATGGGCAGAGAGGGGAGAGATAAAGGCACCACGAGGGTGCTGCGGGAGTCACAGGGCAACCCCATTACAGCTGCCCAGCACTGACTGCCCCAGCAGAGGCCGGGTGGGAGAGGACTGGGAGTCAAAGGCCAAGGCTGACTGCGGGGCACGGGTTTTGCCCAACACAGGGTGGTTAAGGCTCTCTGTGAAGCCCCAGTGCTGAGAAGGCCCCGGACTCTCAGCACCAGCCCCGGGGCCAGGTTGAAGGTGGCACCTAGAAATGGAGAGGCTCTGAGTCTGGCTGAGGTTAGGATTCTGGGGTGTGCCTGTCTGCAGTCCCAAGAACTTCCTGGTATTCAGTGGCTCGGTCTCACCTCTGAGGGGGCAGAGGAGGACTCTCACGTGGCACCTGCAGACTGCGCACTGCCCCAGGGCCCTGACACTGGGCTCCCTTACCAGTGCCTCCCCAGCCAGGCCGTGGGCCTTGGGCCTCCGCGCTCCTCAAGCTTGAGGAAGGGTGTGACGCCTCCCAAGTGCATCCCAAGGATGCCTGTGTCCCCATCAGGGGTACTTTTGGGCCCTGGCCCCTAAGCCTGGGGACAGCCATGGACCGGTTTCCTGGGCCAGCAGTGGGCTGAAGAGTCTGAGCTGGTGTAACCGGTGGGCAGGGAACCAGTGTGCCTGGCTGAGGGCAGCACCTCGTAACCCCAAAGCATTGCACCCCTCAAAGCAGATGTCCTGGCCAGGAGGTGAGCCCCAGACACCACGATGATGTGTGCTTTACCCCACACTGTGTCCCTACTGAGGAAACGACCTGGGGCACAGAGAGGGACTGCCCGTGCCCCCCCCCAGTCAGTGTGGAGACCCCAGGGGTAGGGCGGAAGGCAGGGTCTCTCTGCCCAGACCGCTGGTGCAGACCAAGACAGGAAGGACCTGTGGAAGGGACCGTCCTCTATTCTATACCTCCTCTGCCCAGGGTCACAAGCCCAGGACGGGGCAGGACAGAGGTGAGCAAACCAAGACTTGGAGACAGAGGACACAGCACCCGGCCAGCCTAGGTCTGCCACGTCCTGGAAGAGGTACCTGCTGTCTGTGGTTGCCTGGGCACTGGCTTGCTAGCAGCCCTAGGGTGTCGCCTTTCCCCACCCGCCTGCTCAGGCTGCCCTGTGACAGCTGCCCAGCCTGGAGATTAGTCACCCAGACACACCGCCTGATGCTAGTGTCACCCAGAAAACAAAAGGCCACAGTCCGTGTGGGGGAGGTGTGACTGGGCTCCTTGGGCCCTGCCTGCCAGACCTGCAGGACAGCGACAGCAGGGGCCAGGAGAGAGGTGGCCTGCACCCCCGTGAGGACCCAGGGTAGCTGCAGGCGCTCCGCAGAGCTCAGCCCACCCTGTAGGCAGCCCTGTCCACATCTTCAAGGGGCTGCTCAGCCACCCAGAGCAGGCCAGGTGGAGCCAGTGCTGTGGGGCCAGGTACCACCAGCCTCAGTTTCCCTGTTCGTCCAAGGGGGGTGTTAAGCAGCTGACATTTACCACAGCTCTCCTGCCAAGCCTCCCCCACTCTGGGTCTCATGTTTCCTGTTCCTCCCATCTCCATAGAAACCTCTGTCCTCTGGTCAGCAGTGGCCTGACTCCTCACTTCCTATCTCGCTGAGGCCTCTCCTGGGTCTGATTAGGAGCCCTGCCCCAGCCTGGAGCCTCTTATCGCCCACCAGCTCTGCAACCGCTTTGCAATGTGTGCTGTCACCTTCAGCGGGCAAGCAGCACACGTAAAGGTCACTCACTGGAGGGACCTTCAGGGCTGACACCCAGGCAAAACGACGTGGCAAGAAGAAGCGGCGGAGAGCCCCGCACACCCAGGCGGGCAGGGTGGGAAGGGCTCGTGGAACCCATCAACCACTGGCTGCCAAGGGCCTGATGCGGGCAGGGTGGGTGGGAGGACAACGGGTGTCCCTTGAGGAGATTTGGTGGCACTGGGTAGCGGTGGCTGAGCCAGGCCTCTTGCCCGTGGGGTCAGCAGGCCCCGGTGCTTCCTTCAGCAGCTGCCAGCTAGAAAGGACTCCTGGCCTCTTGGCCAGAGCCAGCACCATTGCACCCGACGGCAGCTGCAGGCAGAGACCAAGCTCTTCGGGATCCTGTCTGCCGCTGCTACCTGGGCCGACCAACTTTCTGAATCTCAGCTCACTCATCCACCAAACAGGGACCACGCTGTCGGGCTTTGACGCCCAGGCCCGGTCCCAACAGATCCCAGGGCATGCGGTCACACTACCTCCTGGGGTTTGTCTCTGCCCACGCAGGGCTGGGAACCCAGAACGGGAAGCAGGAGCGCTCAGGGTGGCCACCATCCACGCAGGAGGAACAGATCCTGGCAGCCTGTGCCACCTGGCTCTGCTCACGCCGAGGGGTGCCCTTTGCCCCCGGTAGCGGGCTGGCCCCTGGGACTGCCCTGCCTGCAGAGCACAGCCTGCAGGGTCCAGCAGGGGCAGGACTCCACAGCACTGCGTGTCCGATGAAGGCTGGGTAGGGCACAGTGACCCCCCACTCCACAGTCCCAGAGCGAGGGCCCCAGCTACCGGCTCCATTCCCACAGCCCCAGAAAATCCTGGGGGGCCTCACTCTCCCCGGCCTCTACCCATTGCAGGAATCCTGCCCTGAACAAGACAAAGAACAAAAGCACATGGGGAGTAGACAGCTATGGGTATGGGACAACGGAGCAGCCAGAAAGAGGTTCCTTTCAGGGTCTGTCCCAGCCAGGGTGGTGGCAGGAGCTCGGCCAGGCCCTCTCCTTTCCCCAGCTGCAGGGCAAGGCCACCAACCCCTTCCCCACTCAGGCAGACACAGGAGGAGGAGCACAGGCAGGAGGGGAGGGAGCCCCTTTGACCTGATCTGGAAGGCAGGGTAGTCGCAGGAGGTGGGCGAGCAGGTGGGCCAAGGCCAGCAGCTCTGGCTCCTGCTCCGCTGCCGGCCTGTGCTGAGCAAGTCCTAGTTTGGAGGCGGCTGCGCCAGTGGCTGGGGCCCCCCCCCCCCCCCCC